GTATGGGAATCTGGCCGATTTTGGATTTTGGTATCAGGAGCACATAACATGCGAGGAAGTGGCACGTTTGCGCCTGGGAGCAGGCAACCGGCCCCACAGATCTGTAAGTATAGCTTGCCTAATTCAAGAGGCTAATTTTTCTTTACGTATGGGAATTCCGGCCTATTTTACTCCTGGTATCAGGGAAACATGATATGCGAAGAGGTGGCACGAAGGAAATGGATAGGTATGTTTTCAAAGTGAATTGAAATTAATAAGATATGTTTTTCCTTCAATGTATGTTTATTATAACATGTAATGCAATGATACAGAAGAATTATGGTGGTTTGATAAGAAATGATAATAATTTAGATCGTCTGATATCTTTGAAGACTTAAAATTCATATCTTGTCATGTGTACATGGTGTCAGGATGCGTTAGAAGTTGTTACGGTATGTGAGAAGGTGTCAAGATTTGTCGCTTTGGTTGTCGTCTCATAGGCGCAAAGCTGCCCCTGATATGTGGCAACCTATACTGGCCGGTTTGTTGATTCGGTTGTCATCTTGTAGGCGCAGAGTTGATCCCGTTATACAGCAACCTTTACTTCCCGATTGAGGTGCTGACCAAACTCCGAAAGTTAGTTCGGCTCATATACCGCTAGATGGCAAATAACATGCAAGGGAAAATTAATTCTTCAAGAAACACTCTCTCGTTGTGACTGAAAGTTGATTTAGTAAACAGTGTGTTTCTAACCTCAATGCGATTCAGAAATGGCAAACCGAACCGTGAAGGACGCGAAATCTATTCGTGGAACAAATCCTCAATATTTAGTAGAAAAAATAATCAGATCCCGAGTATACGATTCTAAATATTGGAAGGAAGAATGTTTTGCTTTAACTGCAGAGCTTTTAGTCGACAAAGCCATGGAATTGAGGTTAGTAAACATTAACCATTCATTGTATACATTTTACTTAATATAATGTTGTTTCAATGATCTTTGTTGCAACAATCTATTACTGACGTAAACAATTGTATTTTAGGTTCATTGGTGGCGTATACGGTGGAAATGTGAAACCAACACCATTCCTTTGCCTGATACTCAAAATGCTTCAAATACAACCTGAGAAGGATATTATAGTAGAATTTATAAAAAATGAGGAATTTAAATACGTTCGCGCATTGGGAGCATTGTACATGAGATTAACAGGATCATCTCTAGACTGTTATAAATACTTGGAACCATTATTTAATGACAATAGAAAACTGAGAAAGCAAAATAAACAAGGTCAATTTGAGTTGATTCACATGGATGAATTTATAGACGAACTATTACGAGAAGAACGATCGTGCGATGTTATTCTACCGAGGATTCAAAAAAGGCATGTTCTTGAAGAAAATAACGAATTAGGTAAACATATTTTTCTCAAATTTGTATAAATAAATGATACGGGAATACTTAAATATTAAAATATTTACAACAGAGGCAAAGATATCAGCATTGGAGGACGATATGGACGAAGGTATAGAAACTTCAGAAGACGAAGATGTACCTCCTGTGAAGGAAGACACTCGTAAAAGAACGGATGATCACGAGAGAGATAGGGATCGTCACAGAGACAGAGACAAAAGACATTCTCGTTCCGATAAAAAATCGGATAGGGAAAAACAGAGATCGAGAAGTAGGGACAGGGATAGAGACAGACGCGAACGTAAACGGAGCAAGTCGCCGAAAAGCCATTCTTCGTCGCATAAGGAAAAGGATAGAGATAAGGATCGTCATAGAAGAGACGATAGAGATAGAGATAGAGATAGGGATCGAGATCGAAGACGGGAGCGTGACAGAACTAGACATTGAATCAATATGCGGGAATTCAAAACTTTTTTTTGTACAGAATGTAATAGTAAAAATTGTTCATAATAATTATCGGGCGAATAAGAAATTGACGGTGATACAAATCTTGTATTTTGTATCGTATTTACTGCATTTCAGTCATGATTAACAGTAGTGTGTAACATTTGCTGAGAATAGTTTCATATTAAAATTATAGTACTCATCGATAGAAACGCTACATAGTAGCTTACAGTATCCGTACATTATGTGTTTCAATTAACAATATTTGTTTGCCATAACATGCTATTCATTCATACTGGAATCATTTCTTCGACTTAACAAGACGATACACTGACCGTTACTTTTAGGTTTATTTACAAAACAGTAGAAAACATTTATCATTGCAATTGTTAATATAAATTTGTTAAACAATACAATGACAAATTTTCTCAAGCACCATGTAATAAACTAAGTTGAGAATGTCATAGCCTGTCTATAAATGTAATCTATTCGATTACACGTATAATATCTTTGAATATATACATTTCCACGTGTGTACTTCGAATAACAATACTTTTTATAATTAAAAATAATGAGCAAAAGTATATTATCTATGTGTGAGAAAAAATATGAATGAACCCACCGTTGATTCGGTTTTCTTTCGTTATTAACAAATTGTATTCGTCCGATAAATAACACTTTAAAATATGACTGATTTCAGCTTTTAAAATGTTGGTGAATTTAAAATAAATAATCTCTCTTCTTCCTTTTTAATCCATTTCAATAATTTACTGACTGCTTCAATAGCATCAGGCTTTGTTACAAGTGGTTCAAATGTAACATAGAGTTCAAAACCTACTGTTACCTGAAAAATGTTTTTAAACGAACTTAGTAGCGATCCTTTATAGTATTTTGTATTATGTATATCGCAACTTACCCATGCTAACATGGTCTCCTTATCTAATTGCTGAAATATGAGTTTTAACGGTCGATTTGGAGCATGTAGCCTATGGTGTAAACATTGGTAAAGTCCTAATAATCTATAGAAAATAAGTAAGTTTGTCAAGGTGTTTTTTAATGATACAATTTTTTAAAGAATTTTAATATACCTACCGTTCTATTTCTTCGTCCGTTGTATATGGAGGTTGAAGTCCCGGGCTCCAAAACTGTGCTGTACTCCTACATTTGTACAAAACGTGCCGCATTTCTGGCAATCCAATGTCAGCAGTTGTGATGGGCGGTTTGTTCATAGATTCGTTAATTGCTTCCAAACAATTTGTCCGTCTCAATTTTTCTACAATTTTCTAAAAATAAAAATACATAAATATTTCAAGTGGTGTCTTTTTTTCACACTTGGCGAAGTTTTACGTCAAATTACGTACTTGTTTTGCTTCGGAAAGTACGAAAAATACATCTCTATCGACTGTTAGCAATAGTAAGCATGCTTGACAATCCTCGGCCAAATACGAGACATGACCGTGCATATAACCATTGGGATCAAATTTTGGTAGACATATTGGCGTCCAGCTCTCGGCTGTTTTAAGCGACTCCGAGCTATCGACCAAATTTTGTATTATGTGTAAATCTCCAGGGTGTAAAAAGAATTTGTTCATTCTAACTAATGTTACCAGCTGATTATTAGCTAGAAGAATTGCAAACACTAAATTCTGAAAAGCAGCAGACACAACGTATTAGTATCATTTTAAAAGAGTAAAATAGCCAAGTATTGCAGAAATTTAGTACCTTGATTTTACTGCATGTTTGAATGATGGTTTGTGTGATGGAACTTCTCATCAAAGGAAGTAAAGGCAAACATTTAATAGCTCCTAGAAAGAATGCTGGTTCTCTATCCATAAAATTTAATAGATGATCTATCAGTCTTTCGCTACCAGTTAACAATCTTCGCAAATCAAAATTCCTACGCTGATCGTATACTCTAGTTAACTGTGATTGTGTTAACACAGAAACTATTTGGTTATATACATATCTATAACGAAACAAGATTGTGCTTGAATACAATCAAATAGACTAAAAACTTATTTCATTAAAGACTACATACGTTAACTGTAACGTAAGTTGAGGTACACTTTCGAGTGTTTTTGAGACTGCAACTAAGATCAGTGGACCTTTGACAACAAATACAAAATTAGTATCTCCCGCGTGTACAGATCTAATCATATCACTGTCTGCTTGGACAAACGAAACTAGGGCCAGCATGACTCCCATAGTTGTGGCTAGTTTGTCTTCTGAACTATATCTAGAATATATGGGTTTTCCTGCCTGGCTCAGTATAAATATATGTTTCCTTTGGGCCAGCCATATTTTACAACGTAATGGATTAAAATCTAAACTACTGTGACCTAACTGATGTGTGATGTCCTCCTAAAATAAAAAAGTTTCGTTAAAGAAACAATAGGAAGAAGCTACTCCAAAATGAAAGTGTACTAAACAAAATTAAGTAATAATCTTCGCTCTATAATTTTCCGAAAAAATAAATCAGTTTCTTTCTATGACAAGTTATCGCGATCTATCATTGGTATTTTAACTCATTACAGTTGTTGTTAAATTAAATATATTCGTAACGTTCGCTACAGAAGAGGTTATAAAACATACTACTTCGGAATCATCGACAGAAGCTGTTTTTTGAAGGTCCCGTGGACTAGTTCTAATTGGTGTAGGAAGAACGTCTTGCACGTCTTCCTGAATCTCTGAGATAGTGCTCGTTGTGCTTTCTTTCATGTGTCTATCGTCGATGCTACTACTCATTTCTTGTTCGTACTCCTCGAAACTATCGGTCGTAACCAGCATAGTTTCTGCAGAGGCACCTGGTTCGATACCGGGCTCGGGAATACCATCTTCGATGGTTTCAGGCTCTTTTGCCGCCATTTTTATACACGAAACACTTCCACTTTGCCACTATTTCAAATTTTTCTCTCTCAATTGACATTTAACGGCGGACCGCGACGGATCGGCCGCCATTATTAAAATTCGGCTTATTGGATCAGAACAGCAACCGACAGACAGATGCTAAAACATCGAACTAAAAATCTCTAGATTTCGACGATTCGTTTTGTCACTGACTTCACTGTTGTAGTATTGGTACTAAGGATAATTCAAAAAAATAATGATTACTTAAAAGGATAATTAACGAAGGAACAGCATTTCCTTGTCTTAATCTCGACGTTCAAACGTAACGAAAGAAACGTAAGGCGTATCGAGCAATTAAATTGTCATGGAAAGAAAATTCTATAAGCAAAATCGCTATCATTTTTGCGAATAAAAACAGTAAAGTTACAGTCTTCTCTAGTTCGAAGGGGATTGAAAATGTGCTTCATTTGGAAGTATTTATTGTTTCGTAACAATATAGAATCTAAAAATAACGATTTTAAGAAAGCGAAAAATAGTCGTGCGTTATAAAACTATGTAGCTGTCGAATACATATACTTTGCGATACTCTCGTTCCGAAGACGAGTTAAAGGCAACCACTGTTCAAACGGCATAAATGCTCGAACTGGAGTTAACGATAAGTAATTAACATACATAGCCGAACTACGCGTATTGCCGATTTGATCTGCGCTTACACATCGTGATTTTAATTGCGAATCTGTGCGGAAGTATATTCCGTTGTAATATACGTATATTAATACACCGACTGATCGATGAACGTGAATCAATATCCGCCTGCTTTTAACTAGACTAGTTTACACACATATGAGATTCTCGTAACCTTGTTCTATATCCCATCTATCTCTACAATAAGATACCAACAATTATCGAGATTCGCTTTTTCGAGTAAATAACATTGTTTGATCGTAAATATTTCGATTCGCTGTTACCAGTGGGACGGATTTTCGCGAGGAAAAGTATACGAAATACGTATAATCCGCTGGGATAGGATCAGGAATAGGATCATTCAAAGTATCGCAAGAGGGTTCATCGACAAGTCGGAGCAACTTTCAAATCTGTTATCTCGCGGTGTGATTAACGCGTCGATTACTGTGAGACCATGATCTCGTAATCGGGAAAGGCAACTTCAGAGCCGGCGAACGCTATGTAGCAGACGCTGTGAGACGGTTGCACCTTGCCGATCGTCACAGTGTCCTCGTGATTGACGCGACCTACGTACAGGGCTTCCCCATCTTCGGACTCACCACCGGGAATCGCATTGGGAGGAATGTTATTTCCGCTCGTTGGCACCCACGCAGGATTACAGCCGCAGAGAACCTAAAACAAGTTATTAGAAACATTTACAATTAGAAATTTCAATAAAAAGTTAAGTAAAATAGACGTTGTATTCAATACTTGGTATTCAGTCTTTCCATGCTCCTGACCACCCCAGGCAACGTAGCAGACAGCATGGCCTGGCTTCACTTTTCCTGGTAAAAGTGCACCCTCGTGGTAAGCTCTTCCTACGAACAGAGGCTCGTCGTCTCTGCCGCCTTCCACGGCACCTGGAGGTACCATTCCACCGGATGCGTCGCACCAGCAGACTTCTCCCATTTCCAAACCTTGCACAGGTGGAGGAGGGGCCGACGGATTCGTATCTACAAGCAGGTGCCATCGAGGCAGATGTTAACGCGAATGCTCCGAAATTAAATTATTTTCTGTTATTTGTGCACGGTAAATGGATTATTATTCGAAGAAAAATATAATCGGTGGCGTTGCAAACGTTACTCGAGATTTTTATTAAGTACAAGAATGTCGTCTTATACTTATTTCTGGACAAGATAGCTCAACAAATTTGTCTCTGGTTATAAACAATCTTTTGTCATACACCACCGATCAAATTGTATCATTCAGACGATGAAACATGTATTTTCTTCCATGCGCAGTCTTGAAAAAACACACACACACACACAATTCAAGGTTATTGGTAATACAATACCAACAAAAGCGACGATGCGTGAAGATCGATGAAAATGAGACAATAAGGAGACAGCGCAAACGACGCGTATAAATATTTCATGATTTTCTTCTTAATCGGGGAGTTTACTTGGATAATTATGGATCGATGCACGTCACGTAACGAAACGATGAAGTATGCGAATCAAGTGGAGAAAACGTTCGAAAAAATGATACGTTTGCAGAAGATAGCGGTATACCGATCTCGATGCAACATGCCGGTGTTAGAACACTCCACGAATGATAAACATGATTCAGCGTGCTGTTAGCAAGAACAAAACGACTTTAGTCGGATCAAACTTGATTAGCCTCTCGTGCGCGCATTCCCTATCCGTTTCAGTTATTCGTATCCAACGGTGTATTAGTTCTCGAGCAATTTATGGTTCATGGAAATCCTGCGTCGACGCCCAAGCTAGATCAATTTTATTATCATCAAGGGATAATAAATAATTTACTTGCTCCGTTATGCACCACGAATGTATCGTTAGAGAACGACTTTTTCGATGGATTCTCCAGAGAACGAGCATAATCTAAACCTTTTGCACTCGAGCCCCTTTTTTCTGGTATCTATCAGCAACTCGAGATGCTTTATTAGCATTCTATTGTCGCGAATGCTATTGCTCTGCCGAGCCAAACGAAAAAGTCTTTCTCTTACAACTTTATTATTTAATCCGGAGATTCGTAAATGCGGTTGAAGAGAGGAAGCGTAAAGTATAAACTGCATTGTCGTGGGAGGAGATTGCGCCAATCGCTAACACCGATTACCATTCGCGCGAACAATGAGAAAGCACAGATCACAAACATAGGATTCGTGGAAGAAATTCTTCTTTAAAACAAGACACCTGTCCTGAAACGGTCTCTCTACTTTTTTTACGTGTTCGATCCTACGTTTCCTCGATTTGTACTTGTCCACGATTCTTAACAAGCTTTCGATGCCCCATAGCGATGATTAAATATCGACTCCCGATGATGACAAATTCGACAGTGACAAAAAAAGAAGAAGAAAAAGAAGAAGAAAAAAAAAAAAGAAAAACAAACACCATGTGTTCAAGACAGATTACTTTTAGAACCGGGAACCGGACGGGGCGGGTACAGCGCGGACCGAAGCTTCCATTTTCCGGTTGCGCCCCAACCGGTACGCACACCCACGTAGCTCACGCCAAATGGCTTCGGATCCTGCCATTCCATGATCGCAGGACCGTTAAGATCGCCAACCCTGACCGTGATAAGGCCGTCGAGCCAAGAGATCGCGAACTTCTTGGTATCGTTCTCGTTCAGTAGGTTTGGCGTGTTCGTGCGCACCTGTCGGCGCAAAATTACCCATTTAGGAAGGAGAACACACCGGAAACCCAAACTCGAGTTCCTTTAACCCTTTGTGCTCGAACGACACGCCAGCTTATCTAAGCTTATCCGAGCTCTCAATTAACAATTACAAAATTGTTTGTTTCTAAAATGTTTAATTGTACAAACGTAAACGACCCGGGCCTCTTTCGACCTCGACCTCTGTCGATCAGTTAAGCTTTCAACGAACATCGTAGGCCAGTTGGACTCGGTTAACCCTTTGCACTCGAGAGACGACTCTCGGTCACACCACTAGGTTCGACGCAACAAATCAACCAGCAATAATGTTTGTTTACGTTTCATTTCTGTAGAACTCGAAGTGTCAATAAAATGATCGTCGGTGAGGCCAAAGGTGACCTGATTCTCAAATTTCAAATTAGAGAAAAAAAATGCCTCGAGTGCAAAGCGTTGAACCAGTCGCGTGTCCAGAGCCACTCAAGTTTCCAGGAACAAAGGATCAAAGGAACGAAACGGACTCGAGTCTTCGTCGATTTCGAACCTTATCGGGCTGTTTGCGATCATATCTGATGACCGACGCCGTGTTCTCCCAGCCACCGAGCATAATTTCGTACATTGGGCTTGATTCGGCTTTCCGATTTGTCAGAGCGATGTGCGCGTTGCTCTTTGCTCTCACCTCGACGAGGACCGCGCCACCCCTCACGTTACGAAACGCGTAGACTAACTCATTCCGCGTCGATAGTTTGCCGTGTCCTTGTGAAAGTTAAAGAAATTCGAAAATCAATACCTTGCCGCGCATGGTGCTACCCAGAGCTTGGGGGATTCTTTCGTGACCTTGTTTCGAAACTATCGGCAACCCTAAAAATACTCGACGTTCACGTATATTCAACGTTCTCCCTAGTTCGCGGGTTGCATCTTACGTCGTCGATTAGATTTTGGATGAACACGTTCCGATGATAAGAATCGATTTCTTGATCGTATTCAAGCGAGACAAGCGCGACTACGTGATCTAAGGGTTGCTTCTCGTGCAGATATGCCCATTTCTTTGTGACCGAACGGTGTCCAATTAAAATATACATATATCGTACCTGGTTCGATTTGCAGCAAGGATCAAGAAAGATTTTGAAAACGATTAAAACTTTTAATTCGACACCTTTCTTGGCAAAACGGGGAAAACGTGCTCAAATCAAACATACTCGAGCAAAAAAAAAAAAAAAAGCTAAAACAATATCTAAGGAAAGAAGATGCAACTACGTCTTCCGGCCAGGCTTCGCATATACTATACGTACAACGCTCTTGCCCACCGACACATATGGCTGTGCGGACGACGATGCATTAGTAGAGTCCATATCCGACATCCAATAAAGTACCAGGAAGAAGATCGTATTAATAAATTGTGAACGACTTACTATATCGTCGATAAACCGGGCCGAATAATAAATAACGTTAATAAAATACCATTAGCTATGTCGAACGCTATACCTAACGTTGTACAAAGTTGGAAAGGAAGTCTTCGAAACGCAAACGATTTCAATCGTGTCAACAACGCACTCGTCATCTTGTCGGATAACCTTTTCACATTAGCGATTATTTCTAGTAAATGTAAACATACATACATGTTTAATAAAGTAGCTTTCTGCAAGGACTTTCTTTCTAACTTTGTATCTATTCTAGAATGTTTGTCTAGATATTCGATCAATCGAAAATTTTAAATATACCAGGCTACTAAAGAAGCAGCGGTCTCGAGATCGTCGGAATTCCAACTATCTATCAAATTCTTTCAAATTCTTGCTATTTACGGATGCGAAATTAAGCGAAGAGAACAGTTTACCTTCGATCAGCCATTCGCCAGAAGCACCCCAGCCGGTGCAAATTCCAAAGTAACCGATTCCGAACGGCTCTGGATCGGTGTACGTGAGGAACGAGCTTGGTTCGCCTTCTTTACCTACGGAAATCGCGCCGTCGCCCCATCTGAAACGATCATCATCGAAGAAATCGTTACAAACCACGGTATCATTGACTATCGGGATCGTACATACATAACCGAATTTAGTATTAGAAACTCCGCGAATAAATATTACGGAACGAATGCAATAAAATTAATACTATATGAAATTATACTGCGTGGTTTAAAAGACTTCGACGCTGGGTAAAGCGGGTGCAACTAACTGGCCCTCGAGAACTGCACGACGACGAAGCGGTTTAACCCTTTGCAACTCGAGAGGTGACTCTCAGTCACCACTAGGTTTCCTTTAGATTTCATTTCTTTGGAACTCGAAGTGTCGATAAAATGTTTGTCGTTGAGGCAAAAGTGACCTGATCTTCAAATCTCAAATTAGAGGTCTCATTCGAGAAGTCAATCTAAGCTTAACATTCGTGACAACAGAATGCTAAGAAAGCTTCTCGAGTGCAAAGGGTTAATATTTTATTTTGAATTCACCTGATCCAAAATCCACGAAACTCGTCGCCGCTCAGAATACCGGGTGTCTCCGTTTCCGCGGCCTCTGGTTTGGCTCTGTTCTTACGGATCACGGACTTGCTGTTGCTCCATCCACCGATGAAGACCTAACATTGTAACATATTCTTTAATACATTTTCCGTTCGTTCGTTCGAAGATCTGTTTAACTCTTAACGTTTCTTACCTCATACATGGGGTCCGCCTCTTCAGGGCCCGTGGTGAGCGCGATGTGAGCATCATTAGGCGTCTTTACCCGGAATTGAAGTTGTCCGCTCGCGACCGGGTAGAAGTTGTACTGCAACTTGTCTTCGGTGGAAAGTGCTGAAAACAGAGGCGAACCACTTTGTTAACGCGAGAGTTCAACGATTAACGGCGTTGAGAGAGATCGGAGAGAGTGCTGTGCAGGGTAGAAAATAATTCACCGTACCGGTGGAGGGTTAATTCGAAGTCTGGATGTAATTTGTAACGCGAAAGTGGAGCAGGGCATCTCGATCGAGCGTCCAGACGTCTAGACGCCGGCTAGCCGATATAAGGAACGAAAGTAGGACAATGCAGGACTCGCCATCGATCGATATAAAGTGCACACGATAATTGCGAGTCTAGATCGCATTGTGCTACGGTACCGGATAATAAATCACGTCTAATGGTCCCCGACACGGTCACCGGACATCGTTCCAAAGACGAATACAAGTTTTTTCGGCCTTGAAGGATGACTTCACCGCACACGCGCGGAATTAATGAATGAAATCCGTTAAAATAAAGGTCGGAATAGTTGTCTTGCGCAACGTGGGTCGTCGCAATAAAATAATGGTAAGGTAAGGCGATTTATTTATTACCGTTAGAATCTATTTAGACGATCCATCGATTTCTAAGCCTTTGAGAGTGATTAAGCTATTGTTCTCTGCAGCGAAATATTTACCTCGAGGTAGGAACAAGGACCGCAATTGATGCCTCACGTCCGAGAATACAAAAAGCAACATCAACGCGAACGCTTTAAGAATGAAACTTTTCGATAGAACTTGCCGATAGAAGTCGGACATTTTATGCTCGTCGAACTTCATAATATTTATCTATCGGTGTCGCATGTGTTATAGCTACGCTTAAATGTCAAACGGTCGCTCCGATTCTCACAATTATTAATCTACTCGTAACTTGTATATTCGTGTAATAAATAATCTTCGCTGCGAAGGGTCGATTTATTAACCCCTCGAATGTCTCATTAGTTTCTAAGTGAACACAGCCTCGTTTCGTACTTTCGTAAGCTTCGATATTTCATCGATTCACTTTTACGCTTCGTGTAACCTAACCGAGATAGCACGATTTGGAATGACAAATATATATAACTAGGCTGATTTGTTTATTTTCGAAAAGAAACTGTCTCTATCACGGGACACAATATTACCACGGTAACGAAGTGCACTGGTACGATCGTAGCGGTCGAAAGAAAAAAAATGATTTCTATCGTGGATCGTCGCAACGATCAATGTACGAAAAGATTGCCTTTGCGAGTACTAGTAATCGAAGCGGTCAGTTCAACACGCACACAGAGTTTTATGCCGAACGAACGCAACACTTATAAATAGTGTCTTGTGTCACGAAGACAGCTTGCGTTGGTTGCTGACGTCATCGCGAACGAAGGAATCGCTCAGTAATTCGGGGGGTCGTCGTTTTTATAAGCGATACTATTTATTCAATAATGTCATTCCCATTCGACCGCGTGTACCTTCGTGAATCAGTAGGTGACTGTCTATTGTTTTCCGTAACTTCTACAGGGTGTCCGAAAAATGTTGGAGGTCCTTAAAAAGGATGGTTCAGGGGATGATTTGAAACAACTTTTTCCTTAGCGAAAATGTTGTCCGAGGCTTCGTTGAGAAGATATTAACGGAAAACACTGACCAATCAGAGCGCCCGTATACCGTTGGTGCGGCCGCGGTAGCGAATGAGCGCGGCCGCCTAGCACGTAGCCAACGGTCAACCGGCATACTCGCGCTCTGATTGGTCGGGGTTTTCTATTAATATCTCCTCAACGAAGCCTCGGGCAACATTTTCGCTAAGGAAAAAGTTGTTTCAAATCACCTCCCGAATCACCTCCTTCAAGGTGTTGCAACATTCTTGGGACACCCTGTATGTAAATATGCATACAAGTCGGACACTTCCTCGAGAAGGTCGTCCGCATTATTCGTGGAAACTCGAGAATAGATCAACCGATAGGAATATCTTTTACGTACAATGACACTGCGAGGAAACGCGTTATACATTCTTATCGCGTCTGGTCTTGTGTCATTCGGTTACGAACGCAATTGTTAACGAGTTGTCACGTAAGTCTGATAAAAGAGGATGACCAGCTGCAATTTTTCAAGTCGAACTATTCGTTTCATTTTAAATCGTATTTCGCTGTTGGGAGAGTGTACTTCATAAGCAAGTTAAAAATAACATACGATACAATAATAGCGAACAACAGTCCCTTCGTTAACGTTTCTTCGTGTATGGGTGCATAGATAAGAGAATCAAGGATAATAGAAAGCAGCGGTAGACGAGGTCGAGAAACGTCATCGAACTGATGTCATTTGTATTTCGATGCCAATTACTTCATGTAACGGTACCACGGTGACTCAAACTGATCGACGGGGTGAATTGTAATAATCTATGTACACGTATCTATGTTAGGTTACCAACTGCATCGAGTGCGAAGGGGAACGAGTACTCGCGCGTGACAAATGCGGAAATTCATCGCGACCTTTTGTCGTACTTTATGCAATTGGCAACTTTGACCGCGCCTATCCCGACTCTAGGGTCTCTGGGTTACCCGAATTTGTTGTAATCGTTGTGGCGTTCATTCCCAGGCCTCTTGGTATCGTTACCAGTGATCTACGGTCTTTCAAACGCAAAAACGTGCTGCAACCTTAATCGTAATCGGCCTCAGAATTGTTAATACAGCGCGCGACAAATTGATTAGACCAGACCTCAATTCGTACGAGGCGTGTTACGCTCGCAATTAACATAACAATGTGAAAATTAGAGCGATTGAGTCAATTTCTCATTGCGCAACGATGCGCACCGTTGGTTATTCCGTTTCATCGTTCATTGAGATGCTCCTCTCAGCTAAGAAACCGTAAACAATGGTCGAGAATGTCTTCCGACTGCGAACATTAAAAACTCGAGTTAACTTTTTAGACCATCTACTTTGTTAATTCGAGCGCGAGTATACAGCTAGGAATGATTGGTGCCAAAGGTATTCCGTGCAGGAAAAAAAACGATCCGTGGAGGCGTATCGGGTCAAGCGTTATACTCAACCGTCATAGGCAATAATTGCGCATCGCTACTTGCTCGTAATACCATACGAATATTCCTCTTAATATGGGACTGTCCGCAACGAGCAACTACATATTAAATATCAGGATACAAAAATGGCTGTGATAAAATAGTAATAGATGCTTGTCGATCGAGTAATCAAGTAAACACAGACATTGATCAATTAGACGGTAGGGCGAATTGTCGTACAATTGCGACAACAAGCAGTTCGATTATTCAAAACGAATACGGTAAATTGCGCGAACCTTCTACGCTTAATGGAATAGCGTTAATTAATTGCGAGAGAAACGGCTACCGATAATTAGACGACCGCTCGTCTATTGGTCTACTAGCCATTTGTGTCACGCTGTCATTGACCTCGCACGGCAACTGTTCTTTTCGCTAGCAAGGTAGATCACGGTCGGTGGCTCTGAGAAAGTACCGAAGTAGACGGTACTGTGAAAGAAATAAAGCGCAGTGCAGCGAATACGGCAAGCGTGGTGTCAGCAACGGGTTAACGTTCAATTGATGACGACCGAGATTCCAGAAAGAAGACGGCAGATTCCTCGTACGTTCGAGGATAGTGGGAGCGCGAGTTGCGAAACAATTTGGAATTCGCGTTACACGAGAAATCTTGTCAAGATGACGCGACACCGGAATCGGGGAAATTAAGACCGTTCCCCAAGGACAGGGATCGTTCGGTACTAATGTTGTCCGCCTAGTGGTACAGTTTTATTATTGGCGAAAAGATTAAAGGACGATTTAAGGTCAAAGGAAGATCGAAGATTTTATACGACTTAGAATCGTAGCGAGGAAATTTTAGAGAGTGGTTGAAATGGCGTGAAGAGTTTCGTGAAATTGCATCATGGCTTCGAAAGCCGGCCGGCTGGCTTGTCAAACCGGCACAACCGCGCCCGTCTCCTATATTTAGCTGTAACTAGAAAAGAAAACGTTCACCGAAGCATCCTCGATCATGAATCTCCGCGATCGATATTTTCGAAACAGCAATCGGGAGAGAACGGAGTTTAGGGAGATTCCAAGATAGAGCTAGGTACGAAGAACAATACACGATTCGTAAAGCATGGGAAATAACAGAGGAAGGATGTAATTCCAGGTCACGCTTCACTGGTCTCTTAAAAAGTACACCGTATACGCGTTGATACAGTATATCGATAAATATAGACAGTTTCGAGAAGGTCACGCGAGGAATTCTCGGTTGTGCTTCGCTTCCCTAAAATAATAGACATTCTCACGCACCTGTATGGCATGACAACGATCTATTTTAAGAGCGATCGTTTCATTACGGATAATCCTGTGTCTAAAGATCACGAGTGACAACATTATGTGTAACAAAAGGATATCACAAAAGGATTCAAGCTAAGAAAAATCGATAATTCAAGTATCGTCTCTACGTAGTAATTGCTATACACGTTAGAACACTCTAGGATTTTCCAATAAATCGATCGCAATACAGAATGCTATGTATTAGAAAATCGTCTTGTAGATGACAACCGTACGTAGGCGAAGGATTAATCGAAATGTTTGTTTTGTGAAAAAGAAACGACTGTATTGACACTGTAAACACCATTAAAGACACCGGGTAATGTGTTTTATAAGTTTCGGTACCAATATGCCGGTAGTTAACTAAACAAATATAATATATACAAAGTTTAATATTTTCTACTGTATGTATATTTGTATGTAAACTACATACAAATTTTGTAGAATATTTAAACGATCGAAAGTCTACTCGTTATTAATATAAAAATGTGTACTTACAAATAGCCATGCTGTCTTATACGACGATAATGTAAAATCCACGACACAGGTGTTAATTGACGCACACACCACGAATGCTGGACTCGAACTGCGACGAAGGACGAAGTGCGACGAAGTGTCCGCTCCGCCATGACGTTTACCGAGACGAGTGGTGGGGGCGCGTCTGCGCAGTACACTTCCTACCCTTTCCTACAATTACATCGCCGGCAATTTGCATGTGATAATTAAGCGAACGGAATGAGTCATAACTTATCGATAAAAATTCGACTTGTTCCACGAAAAAATTACAATAAAATCGTACACAATGTTTGATACATATTCATATTTATTTTTATGGAATTATATATATTTTAAATATTTTAATAATTACGAAACATTCGATGTACTGAAATAAATATGAGCAACAAACAGTTCTTGCTATGGTATTTATAACTATTCATGATAAGTGTTTGTTCATAGTAATTTTTAGGGAATGAATCGCGTATTTGATTCGTCGAAATGTAATTTCTGTTTTAATCATGGTATTAACAGCTGTGGATCAGCATAAAATACTTGTATATTGACGACACGAAAAGTATTAAAGAACTTATTCCTCTGTAATTATCTCATTGGAACGTGTATATGCATAAATAATGCCATATAGTGTTAATTAATATCCTTATTTGCAACGCATGAGATTGTCTGCTTGATACGGAGAAATTATTCAAAAGATTTATTCTGTCTCGTGTCTATCTATATATGCATGTTAATATTGCAATGACTAACCAATTTAGGCATTACTTCAAATACGTTAGAATCACTAATGATGTCATTGTTATTAGAACTCGTTGAATCAATGACGACCTTTAAGTACATATGTATATCGTTTTGTCTTTATTGTGATAACACATAATAACTTAAAATGTCAACCAAATGTGATCAAGATTACGTGAATCTATGATCGAACATAACGATTTCAGTCGTGTTAATCGTACTCGTGCCTCCGTTGGTAAACTCGTTGGTAAACATAATTTCATGTATACATAGTTCCGATGGCCTCGTTAAACAATAACACGTAATAAATATTCGAATGAATCATTTGGAATACGTAGGCGCCATAGAATCTGAGCAGATTATATTACTTCGTAAGATTATCTAAAAGATTGAGATACAGTCTCACGTATCCATGACAAGTGACGATTATTAAGAAATAATGATATAAGGCAATCGAACCTCTTCAGTTAGATATTGTATTCTTTGTAAATTATTTCGTAATTTATAGTAGAAATATTCATATGGTAACGTAAGTAGGTCTATCTCATACGTCGTTTGTGCTCGTAGTAGCACGCAAAGAGTTTCTCTCTTAAAATAGTTTATGTTGCGAAGAATCTGTCAAAAAACTGTGACAGCATGGAACGTATTTGTAATCATTGAGATTGTTAATACCGGAAACAGTTGACGAACCTTTTATCAATAATACCATTATGTCGGGATTAAAGGTAATAAACAAAAGATGGTAACGAAAGTGTTTTATTCGATCGGTAAGGTATACGAAAACATAAAAAAATAACAGGAAATTTTTGTGGATATTAGGCTGATAGTAATAAGGATGATGATTTGAAGAGACAAGGTTCGTTTAGGAAATTATTACCTTTGAATACGAATGGAGATTCTCAACTGAGTATGTCTGTAAAAATGATCGATAGGCCAACCGTTTCGCAAACAAATAAAGAGTATGCAGTTCATTTGCAAGAGTACAACATTTTATCCGAATAGTGAGTTGCCTCGACATTTTGTTTATTGAAAGTAAGTCTTGAAATTGAATAAAGTTTTGGTTTCTTTGCTTTCTTTTTTATACAGCAATATGTTGTGTTCGCAAGACCTGAAAGGCATTTATGTCATACCATCTGCACAAAACTCCATGTGTAAGTAATATAATTGACAGAAATTAATTTTTTCTTTTAATGGATTTCATGAGTGTAAAAGGTTATGAGTTTGAATTGTTTAAGCCAAATAACAATTGATTCTTAGGTCTTGCTTGTCCTGACTTCGTCTTATATAATGGTTTCCATGTAAATATGTGCATGATTTATTGTTTGCCACATTTTCATGTATATGCATAAAAATGAGCATTTATTAAATTACATAACAAGTCTATTTTGTGTTAGTGTGGTTTGGGGTACAATTTGTTCGACAAGGAATCTATCAAGGAGGTGTCTTCAGATTTACTATTACCTTACCGCCAAATTTTCCAGATGCAGGATGCCCTGTAAGATTTTGATTTTTAATATATAATATTTCCATTATAAAATTAATTTTAATGTGTCAACAAACTTTTAGAAAGTCATATTTCAAACTCCAGTTTTTCACCCCTTAATTAATCCTGAATCTGGAGAGCTCTGCACATCATGGGGATTTCCAGAATGGAGAAAAAGCAATAGAGTTTGGCAACTAATACAATTTATTACAAAAATACTCACTAAAGTAGATATTAAAATGAATCCCATAAACCAGGAAGCATCTATGTTGTAAGTACACGAATTATGTTGTATGTTTGTAAATTTGACTTTGATTCTCTTATATGGTACATTATATCTATGTTACAGATTAGAAACCAACTTTGAAGAATTTCGAGATCGCGTAAAGAACTGTGTGAGAGAAAGTTTAAACAAAGTTTACAGTCCACCTATGGTAGATGATCCTCATTACATAGCTTTTGGTCCATATATCAGTGAGCTTCATGACTCCATTAAACGAGAAATTTATGAACCTAAGGTATGAGCACACACATATATATATGTTTTATTTATTTTATTATTAGAAAATTTTTTTGTATAATTTAATATGGTTCAGGAGGAGGAAGAAAACAAAGCACTGGGGTTATCATGGGTACAGCCAGGTTCTGTACAACCATTCTCAAAGCCTGAAGCAAGATAATAACAAACTGTATTATATGAAATGCAATAATGAAACTTCGTATGTCCTTATAAAATAAAAGAACTGTACAATTTACGGATGCAGGGACAAAACTCAATGTATTTTTGTATTAGGACAAATTAAGGAATTGTATATTAATCTATATAACATCTATAATACTCTTGTATTTAATTAAGTGGAAAATATAATAATTAATTTATTACATGTTTGCTTTAACATGAACCTTCTATAAGTAGCAATTAAGTAGATAATAAATAACAAGAGGAATAGGTTAGCAATATTACTAATAAAGTGTCACAACAAATAATTCCGCAATCGGTATCGCCATCTATGGGGAAAAGTCCAAGCTTGTCACCAAATAGTTTCAGTTTTTTAACGCAAGAGGGCGCCACACAGTACTGTTTACCGACAATAAGTTTTTTATTTTTTTTTTCAATAAGTAAACATAATACAACATCGAGAGATGTACGGATTGCATGCCTCCATGTAACATTTCGTATTTAATTCATTGGGATTGGTTTGTAGTTTGTTTAAAAGAAATAAATTTATTAAAATTTAGTAGCGCCATCTAGCAGCGAGAGAGTGGAACAATTTGACGACAAGCTGGAGACTTTTCTCTGAGATGGCGCCACTGAGTTACCAAAAATTAATTACTAAAAAACAAGCTTTAAACCAATTTCAATAAATAAATTACGGAATGCTTGTGACAGGCATGCACTTGTCAATGTTGTATTATGCCTACTTATTGAAAAAAAAATTAAAAAACATTTTGCCGGTAATTAATATTTCGTGGTGCAATCTAGTGGTGAAAAAGTGAAACTATTTGCCGACAAGCTTGGGTCCTTTTTTCTTAGATGGCGCCATTAAAGACGAGTTACTAGTATATATAGTTTCAGCAAGTTTTAGGTATTTTTATCATGGATATTGGATAGTAGGTGTGTATGACAAGCTTAGTGAATCAGTATATCCGTCAGGAGAAATGAATATTTCGAGATAAATGTGTAGTGCTGAGAAATAAACCGTGCTGGACTGTTTGATGTTGTTTATGCTCTTTTTCATTTTATTTCGAACTACCTCGAATCATTTGTTTACCACATTTTAAGATTATGAGCTACGATTTTAACTTTTAATGACAGACGCACGGTTATAGGTAATTATCTTATTTACGCATTAAACATGTTAACTGTGATTTTGATTCGCGAATAATAACTGCAACCGTTGACGGAGTACGAAAACGACGCGCAATTTTAAAAGTAGTAAAGTATCTTTTATGTTTTATTGCGAAGAATTTGGTTACTTACTTTTAGGTTAAGGGCGGAGTAAGTTTACACATAATTCATAAAAGAAATCACATTTCATTTACAAATTATGTGTGGAGTAAGAGTATCAAGAGTTTCAATTAATGTTTCGACTACGTACTAAACGTTTAAGTAATTATATGACCGAGTTTGTGTTTCTTATTACGAGGCTATATTGACATATTGCGCACGCTATCGGAAAAAACTTCTGCTTATCGTTTCTTACGTTCGTTTGGATTGAGATCAGGATTTTATATGCATTTGATACAGTTGTTTCAGATAAAATATATAGAATATCAATATGCAGACAATAAAATGTGTAGTAGTAGGAGACGGAGCTGTGGGTAAAACGTGTCTTTTGATTTCGTATACCACAAACAAATTTCCATCTGAATATGTACCTACAGTTTTTGATAACTATGCTGTCACGGTAATGATAGGTGGCGACCCATACACATTGGGATTATTTGATACAGCTGGTAACAATTGACTTAAATTTGTATCAATCTATAATTTTGTATGGTACATGTAAAATATCAATGTTACGTTGTGTTACAGGTCAGGAAGATTACGATAGGCTGAGACCTTTAAGTTATCCACAAACAGATGTATTTCTTGTTTGTTTTTCAGTAGTGTCGCCATCATCATTTGAAAATGTCAAAGAAAAGGTTACGTATTATTTGGATTATTGGGAGTGAAATTCAGTTTGTTAGGAACTAGAAACCATATATCATATGTACATTTTGTTTTAGTGGGTGCCTGAAATAACCCATCATTGTCAGAGGACCCCCTTCTTACTTGTTGGCACTCAAATCGATTTGAGAGACGACGTCGCTACTATCGAAAAGTTGGCAAAAAATAAGCAAAAACCAATATCGGCGGAACAGGGAGAAAAATTGGCTAAAGAGTTAAAAGCGGTGAAATACGTAGAGTGCAGTGCTCTCACGCAGGTAAGGCGTTACGAGTTTATATACATACGAGTGATGTACATTCTTTATCGAGTACTCGGATAATTGCACGGGATTCTTTTGCATTACAGAAAGGTTTAAAGAACGTATTCGACGAAGCTATTTTGGCTGCACTCGAACCTCCCGAGCCAGTAAAGAAGAGGAAGTGTATACTGTTATAAAACGAGTATTTATTTTGAAAGCGATGCATGTCCGAAAGGTAAACAAAGTTATGCATAACTATAGCGAGCAACGAGTTCAACACGTAGTATAAAGCACTGTTTAAAACATTTCGAACTGTGCTTGTATGGTTCCTTTTTAAGAAAGAAATATTCATCTTCAGAGACACGTTAAAAGCCGCTATTACCAGCGCGACAATTTCAATCGAGATTTACTTCTGTATTAATCACGTTACAATCACGATCACATTCCACGCAACGTGAATTCTGGCTTTAAATTTCTCAGAGCTTATTGCACAACGATTTTCTAATCATTGCTTCGAAAATTTACATACACGAGAGCCGTACTTTTATCAATCTTATCCAAGAGATTTGTATCGTTCAAAATTCCTTTGATGCTTCTATTAGAACAATTGGTGCTATCGATCAATAGTATTTTTCATGCTTCACGTAAAGAGTTAGAGTGTAAAATATTCTTTAAACCTTCAAGGAATCAAAGTTTTCGGAGAAGAGAAATCAAAGTGTTCTTTTACAACATACTGGATCGAAGTACTTGTTTCTAGCGGGACAAGTATTTAGGGATATCGACGATGAATGTATAGACTTACGATATATCGTAGATATATTATTTAGCTACTAATATTTCCGTTTGCGTAGAACGAAACAAACGAAAACGATACTAACATCTCATTTAATTAGACAATGTTGCAAATATCGTCGAACGTGTACTACCAATAGAATTCTAAAATTCTATACAGCAGCTATGACACGTAGAATGTTTCCATAGAAGCGTGTTGGTTTCGAAAGACTTTACCGCATCTGATTTTGTACATATCAGCGTTTGTTACGGTATACACAGAGACACGGCAAACTAAGCCGACGGAGGAGAGGAGAGGATGAGAATAACGAGCATTTATACTTTGTAAGATTTCAATGAACGGATTGGTTGGCGGTGTCGACCGCGTTGTACGCGATTGAGAAGGTCTTGTTTACGAGTAAAATAAACACTATCAACGAACGGGAGGCGACACCTGGTCGAAACGAACAACGAGCAACGAGCTTGTTTTCCAATAATCGGATAATCACGTATTATTTATCGAACGACCATTGCGTTATTCATGGTTGATACTAGATTGCAGCTGATATCGGCTTGGGTCATTTTAAAAAACGTTTTTGAAATTACCCAAGAAGGCAGTTTACACCTGGAAGCCTCGGTTAGCGTCAACTATGAGAACCTAGGCCGTGTGAAAGGCTCAAATATTTCATTGTATTATTCGGTAAACGAAACTTCAACGCCTAATGTTTTACCACGAACTTACATCAACGTAACGTGAACTGGATAACGTGTATGGAGAATATTCGAAGCGTAAACAGTTTTCGCAACGATCGGACGACTCGGTTGCGCTCGATCGACGTCGCGTAGGTCAGGCGAGAGTGAGTATCGCGGAAAGATCAACGATCGATTGGCACACCTCGTGTGTCCAGTTAAGGTGAGGTGGCATTTAGTAGCATTGTACGTGTTACGATATGTAGACACAACCGTGTAACAAAATATTCACATAAATATATTTATACTATGCATAAAGAGAGACTCTTTCATTCGTTATCGAGTACCCACCATCCGAAACCCTAAGAAAATGAACGAAGAATATCGCCAGACCAGAGTACTCCTTTAATTCGCCGTCGCGTTTCACGTTAAACTTCACTCGGGAGTTACCATTTGTTTTCCCGTCCGGTGCATTGTTTTCTTTCGCGTTTAGAAAGTAATGGGTATCTCGTAAAGTGCAAGACACGACTCGGTACGCTCGGTGTTCTCAGCTCGAATCGGCACGTGCGAACGGAAATGCAGGGGCGCCGAGAGACAGAAACAGGAGGCAGTCATTTGACGATCGAACGGAGGCATCGTCGACGTAGTTTGCTCACCGTGGTTCGTGCGCTCCTCTTTTCTCCCTTCTGTTCGGTCTCTTCCGTTCCGTTCGGTTTCCTTCTCCTGGTTTCAGCTCGCTCCTGCCATTCCTTCTTCGATTGCATTCGGCCGGCCGTATAACGTACCGGGTTGCGCCTTGTGGTTACTTCAATTAGGTGGATTCGTGGTTACGTATCGGCGTACTGGAGCGGTTTAACCACGCCGACACAGAAGGTACGCCGGTCACGGACTCATCACGGACGTGCCTCTGGACTCCCTTGACATTATCGCTAATCATCTCGAATCGATTCTCGCATCCACGAGAAACGGGGCTCAGGTATGCGCCAGACGTGAGCTTTCCGCTCGATTCGTGCGCGATCCCGACCCTTACCGGTTACCGTGCCAATTAGGAATGTTCATTTGAGAGCTGTCTCTCTCGACGGTAGAAATTCCACGTAAAATTCTACGTTGTTTCGGTAGAGATTTCAACAACGTGTGTTCGCTGGTTCGGGAGCTTGGCCCGATATCGACGACGCGAAACGTTCGACGGCGGATGGAGTGCAACGAACGGGGATCGTTGGCGCGTACGTGTAATTCCGAAGCACGTGGAAAAAGGACGGGGCACGTAGAAGAAGCCCGTATACGAAGAGGCGCGTATTATAAAACAAGTTGACCACCTGGTGGTAACCGCGCGGGGGGCCTCGAGCCGCACGTTGACACAACTCATTTTTACGCGGTGTCCCACGCACGATGGGCGGCCACGCTCGTCCGTGCCCCGTCCGTCGCGCTGGTTCGCGCTAGCACCGTTTTCTCCGCTGTGTTTATGCTGTTTTATGCCGGGGCTTCGGTACCACCGGCTCGGTTGACTAATG